GGGAGCCGAGGGGCCGAGGGGGAAATTAGTGCAGGATATTCACCACAGCAATATTACAGCTGTATCAGCACCTTAATACCAACAACACCCATTTTTAACGCGGGGAGTCAAACCCTGTCATGTCTGCGATAGCTGGAGTCAGTCCACTTGGCCAACATGGTTTCGGTTCTCCGCCCTGAGTTGTGATCAACCTTGAGAACACTCAGAATATGACACTGCTCCAACTGTGCGAACCATGCACGCTGGAACAGTGTATACACACATCCTTGAATATCGTGCACCTCGACTATCACAAAAACGCTTCAATGAACAGCTTCAGCTGCTCGTGTTATAGGGGCAATTAGCGTGTGACAGGCGGCATATCCATTGTAAAGAAGGGCTTGAGGTGATGAGAAAACGTCCCTGCATCCGATTACACGGCGTTCTGATGTCCTGTAATCTCATTATTGACTACCAGAGCATGTCCCGTGTTTCCCCAGCATAATAACTGCAGAAACCCATTAGGCTGATATTGAAGTATGTTGATCGATCCATGACCCGCCTTCATACACACACACCCATCATAACATATAACACCTTCACCACGCTTATCATAACATATAACACCTTCACCACGCTTATCATTACATATAACACCTTCACCACGTTTATCATAACATATAACACCTTCACCACGCTTATCATAACATATAACACCTTCACCACGCTTATCATAACATATAACACCTTCACCACGCTTATCATAACATATAACACCTTCACCACGCTTATCATAACATATAACACCTTCACCACGCCCATCATAACATTTAACACCTTCACCACGCCCATCATAACATATAACACCTTCACCACGCCCATCATAGCAGATAACACCTTCACCACGCCCATCATAACATATAACACCTTCACCACGCCCATCATAACATATAACACCTTCACCACGCCCATAATAACATATAACACCTTCGCCACGCCCATCATAGCATATAAGACCTTCACCACGCCCATCATAACATTTAACACCTTCACCACGCCCATCATAACATATAACACCTTCACCACACCCATCATAGCATATAACACCTTCACCACGCCCATCATAACATTTAACACCTTCACCACGCCCATAATAACATATGACACCTTCACCACGCCCATAATAGCATATAACACCTTCACATACAAACAAGGGCGTCGGTGTAGCCTGCTGGTTAAAGCGTCCGCTCGTCACGCTGAAGACCCGGGTTCGATTCCCTACATGGGTACAATGTGTGGAGCCCATTTCTGGTGTCCCCCGCCGTGATATTGTTGGAATATTGCTAAAAGCGGCGTAAAACCCAACTCACTCACATGCAAACGCATATCATAACGTATAACAGCTTCACAAACACACCCATAATGGCATATTGCAACTTCCCCACGCCCATCATTTAACAAGGGGCACAAGAATAGCATGCAGTTAGTATTATCGTTAATGTATGTTTTAAATCGTGTACACATAACTCATACAACGTACGTAAATCATTGAGAATAAAACATACACAGAAGTCATCTTGAAATGTTTATGATAGTACTTATGTTATCGTTTCTAAATTTCACTGCATGAAATACAAGCTGCATGAAGGTCTTGAATATATGTATATTTATTTACACATGGCTAATCTGAAAGATGCCCGAATATACATACATACGCGGAGGAAAGTATATACATCTTAGATTTGAAATACTTACATCTCACTACAGACATTAGGTGTGACCAGGTCTATTGTTGACATTTCGAAAGCCGGACAAGCCCTGATAATGATCCATGGTTTGTCCGTGAGATACTGAACTCGCTCACTGACTAGATGAGAGCACACAGGTGCCCATGTCGGTGGCAGAATACCACAATCAGTCGAGGACGTGTTACGCGAAATATCAGTTGGCCCCGCTGTGAGACCAAGTTTTATCAACGACCATTTTAACCGCAAACTGTCTTTCTTAAAAAAAGGTTTTAAACATTAAACCACTGCGACAGTATCCTACCCATTGTACTGAGATTGAAAAGAACCCGTTACCAAGCTGACTTAGCTGATCGAAAACCATGTCGGACAGCACCGGCATGTAAACATGGGGCATTGAACAGAACAGCCCATCGACCTGTCACCAAGCAGTTGCTTACTCAGGTGCACTCTCACACCGGATTTATTGTTCTCGGATCACAAATGTTTTGATTCAACCTGAGACGTTCACTCTTGAAGTACCCGGGTTAATTGTACGGTGACTCGGCGGTATATCATAATAAAATATCACAGTAGGGAAAGGGTAGTCTATATCCATTAGACGCCGGCGACGGACTGGTTTAGGGGGCAGGGTTGTCAAATTGGTATATTTCCTTCAGCCACGGTATGCCATGAGTACAAAGGAGAAGATCTAGGGGGTTCTTTGGTGGTATTTACCTTCGTTATGAGATCATGAAATTCCAAAACATGCTAAACACGTGAAGAATGTTGGATTTATGATAAAACATCGTATGCACGTAATTGTAAACATATGCTTGACTTAAGCGATAATATGAAGCCATGTTTTCTTGTGTAGGGCCCCACTCAGCGAGTCCTGCGGTGAGGACTGTACACAACGGGGTCTGGACTAGACAGTCCTGTGTTTAACACTATGAAATACGGTGACCTGAATCAATCAAGCCTGCAGGCCTGATCAATCGATCACAGGAGTCGTCGTGTACGACAACCATGATGTTGCTGAAGACCAAATGTACCACGTCCTTCCAGTGTAGACAACAAGGGCATCACAGCGACGTACACCCGATAGACCGGCTGACACTGTGGCTGGTGGGGAAGAGCGGCGGCTCAACATGGAGTCATCCGAGTTTGGGAACAGCATATTGACCCAATAGCCTAAAAGGTACAGCCACTAGGCTCTGCATCTCACCTGAGTTATCAACACAAATGGCGACCTGTCTATAGATTTAAATTTAGTGCGTTAGTTTCAGAAAAAAAGACTTCTTTGATCTTTCACGATAGGTTCAGCTGCATAGGCGCTGTAGTGTCAGATGTCACACATGCAGGAACACGTGTAAACGGGGAAGGTGAAGGTCAAACACTAAATCAAAATATGCCAAAAGTGTGATGAATAGGTTATTCTACATATTCCACACCTGTAGCAGAACCTTCTTATGGATATGAAAAAAATGCTGTATAATGCGTAAAAATGACATTTTCAACATGGCTGAAATGGCGACGATGTTAATAAACCAGATCCGATTCTATGAGGACCATAGCTAAGGTTCAGTTTCTTGGGGCTGATAGTTTTAGAAAAGATGTCGAACAAATTATTTTAGCAACGGGCGCAGATGGCCAGAGGACTTGACTTTCTGTCAGGTGAGTTAAAACAACCTGACACCACCTGGCCTTTGGCATAATCAGTGGATGACATCTAGTCCAACACTCACCGAAGATGACTCTGTAACCCCTGATCTCTGATATTTATATAGCAAACGAGTCCAGCAAGTGATCAAGACGTGACGAGCAATATACAAGTTGGTAAAGTGATCATAACATCGTCAATATATACTGTATGGAACCCCGTTAGGGATACATTGTCAATATATACTGTATGGAACCCCGTTAGGGATACATTGTCAATATATACTGTATGGAACCCCGTTAGGATATACTGTATGGAACCCCGTTAGGGATACATTGTCAATATATACTGTATGGAACCCCGTTAGGGATACATTGTCAATATATACTGTATGGAACCCCGTTAGGGATACATTGTCAATATATACTGTATGGAACCCCGTTAGGGATACATTGTCAATATATACTGTATGGTCCCCGTTAGGATACACTGTCAATATATACTGTATGGAACCCCGTTAGGGATACACTGTCAATATATACTGTATGGAACCCGTTAGAAATACATTGTTAGGATACACCATTTAGGTCAATATATACTGTATATATACTGGGAACCCCGTTAGGGATACACTGTATGTCAATATATACTATACTGTATGGAACCCCGTTAGGAGGTCAATATATACTGTATGGAACCCCCGTTTAGGATACATTGTCAATATATACTGTATGGAACCCCGTTTAGTACATCGTCAATATATGTGTATGGAATATATACTGTATGGAACCCCGTTAGGTACATTGTCAATATATACTGTATGGAACCCGTTTAGGATACAATACTACTGTATGGAACCCCGTTTAGGATACAATATATACTGTACTGTATTGAACCCCGTTGGAACCCCGTTTAGGATACACTGTCAATATATACTGTATGGAACCCCGTTAGGATACATTGTCAATATATACTGTCAATACATACTGTATGGAACCCCGTTACGGATACATTGTCAATATATACTGTCAATATATATATATGTATGGAACCCCGTTAGGTGAAGACATACTGTCAATATATATACACTGTATGGTATGGAACCCCGTTAGGGATATGTCAATATATACTTTATGGAACCCCGCTTGGATACATTGTCAATATATACTGTATGGAACCCTGTCAATATATACTGTATGGAACGTTAAGATACACTGTCAATATATACTGTCAATGTCATATACTGTATGGAACCCCGTTAGGGATACATTGTCAATATATATGGAACCCCGTTTAGTGTCAATATATACTGTATGGACCCCCGTTAGGGATACTGAGGAACCCCGTTAGAATACTATGTGAACCCCGTTACGGATACTTCAATATATACTGTATGGAACCCCGTTACGGATACATTGTCAATATATACTGTGTCAGAACCGCTGAGGAAAACTATGTGATCATATACTATGGCGGCCCGCTAGAACCAAACCCCCTACTGTATGGATTCCTGATAAGAATACAATGCCGATTCATACTGTATGGCGGCCGCCAGAAACACCATCCCAGCAACTATGTTCGGGTACCCGATAGGAAAATATAGTTTGTTTTCAACACTCAGCACAATGACTTACCTTCGTCATCGGAGTCCCATATTGAGTCGTCTGAGGAGACGCTGAAGAGCTCAGCATTGCCCACAACGTACGTGTTGTACAGCTTTATCCGGGCTGACCACGTCAGGTTCGGGGCTCGGACGGTGTTCTTCAGTCGCCGCCTCGCATTAGCGAACCAATTAGAAACCTGAATTAAGGTCATGTGACTGCCGGCAGCCAACGCGACCTTCTCTGATTTTGAGGGGTAGGGATTATCCCTGTGCTGGTACAACCACTGCTTGAGAGGCCGTGCCATGTCTTGCAGCGTCTGTCGTTTGTGGCGAATTTTCTCTGGGATGAGCCGCCTGGAAGATACAATAGAAACATGAATATGTTGTACATATATCACGACAACCATACACTTCAAATCACGCGGTTACCCGATTTACCTGTGATCTGGCAGGAGAATCGCTAAACTGCTCTGTTTTTCCTATTTTTGATTTTAAATCGTTATGGCTACTGTGTCGCACCCTTCGTCGCAGAGGGTCCATATCTCGATATGTTTAGCTGTCCAAGGAGTTCTAAGGAACGGGTTTGTTTACGCCCCTCGTGTTTCACGTATAATACATTCTATCACATTCCATTTCCCCTACAAAATGAACGAAAGCATACAATTCGGCCCACGTCAAAGTAGAGCCATTCGCTGACAGTTGTGTTGTACGTGTGTGTCCTCACATGAGTGTATCAGTCGTATAGATGTGTCGTCCAACGTGTATCAGTCGTACAGATGTGTCGTCCAACGTGTATCAGTCGTACAGATGTGTCGTCCTATAAGTGTATCAGTCGTACAGATGTGTCGTCCTATAAGTGTATCAGTCATACAGATGTGTCGTCCAGCATGTATCAGTCGCACAGTTGTGTCGTCCAACATGTATCAGTCGTACAGATGTGTCGTCCAACATGTATCAGTCGTACAGATGTGTCGTCCAACATGTATCAGTCGTACAGATATGTCGTCCAACATGTATCAGTCGTACAGATGTGTCGTCCAACATGAATCAGTCATACAGATGTGTCGTCCAACATGTATCAGTCGTACAGATGTGTCGTCCAATATGTATCAGTCGTACAGATGTGTCGTCCAACATGTATCAATCGTACAGATGTGTCATCCAACGTGTATCAGTCATACAGACGTGTCGTCCAACATGCATCAGTCGTACAGATGTGTCGTCCAACATGTATCAATCGTACAGATGTGTCATCCAACGTGTATCAGTCGTACCGATGTGTCGTCCAACGTGCATCACTCGTACAGGTGTGTCGTCCAACGTGCATCACTCGTACAGATATGTCGCCCAACATGTATCAGTCGCACAGATGTGTCGTCCAACGTGCATCAATCGTACAGATGTGTCGTCCAACATGCTTCACTCGTACAGATGTATCGTCCAACGTGTATCAGTCGTACAGATGTGTCGTCCAACATGTATCAGTCGTACAGATGTGTCGTCCAACATGTATCAGTCGTACATATGTGTCGTCCTACGTGCAGTGATGGGTACTGTATGGAACTAACAATCCACTGTCTGTACGTCCACGATGGTTATCAGATAAGCATACAGTTGGCTGACATAGTAATTGAGCGGTGCCCGCAGTAATGAAACAATCACAGCAGCTAACGTGATCTTGTTGAATCAAGCGTAGATCGATACCCTACAAAGACTCCCGTAGTGACTTCCTCAACAACGACGTACTGACAGCGATGAGGCAGCGACTAGAAGCAAACTGAGCATTCTTGGACCAATTACTGACACCCGGGCACCTTACTCGGACCACCGAGGACAACACAGGCACCTCCTTAGGACTACTGATGCCTCCACGGACACCTCACTAGGGCCTACAGATGCCCACACGGACCCCCTAATCGTGTCTAATGCTGCGTACACAGACATTTCACTTGGTCCTACTGATTAATGCCTTCTGATGCCAATGCAGACACCTTGCAAGATCCACCGATCACTACAGACATTTCATCCTGATGCCTACAGACACCTCACTAGAGCAACTGATGCCTACAGACACCTCACTAGAGCAACTGATGCCTACAGACACCTCACTAGACCCACTGATGTCTACAGACACCTCACTAGACCCACTGATGCCTACAGACACCTCACTAGACCACTGATGCCTACAGACACCTCACTAGACCCACTGATGCCTACAGACACCTCACTAGACCCACTGATGCCTACAGACACCTCACTAGACCCACTGATGCCTACAGACACCTCACTAGAGCCCACTGATGTCTACAGACACCTCACTAGACCCACTGATGTCTACAGACACCTCACTAGACCCACTGATGCCTACAGACACCTCACTAGACCCACTGATGCCTACAGACCACTGGACCCACTGATGTCTACAGAGACACCTCAGAGACACCTCACTAGACCCACTGATGCCTACAGACACCTCACTAGACCCACTGATGCCTACAGACACCTCACTAGACCCACTGATGCCTACAGACACCTCACTAGAGCACAGACACCTCACTAGACCCACTGATGCCTACAGACACCTCACTAGACCCACTGATGCCTACAGACACCTCACTAGACCCACTGATGCCTACAGACACCTCACTAGACCCACTGATGCCTACAGACACCTCACTAGACCCACTGATGCCTACAGACACCTCACCCTTGTTGAGCTTTACAGACACCTCACTGAGGGTGCCACCTCACTGACAGACACTCACCTCATGCTGGACACCTCACTGGCACTCCGGGATCCACTGGAGACACCTCACTAGACCCACTGATGCCTCACAGACACCTCACTCCGCTGAGCCACTGATGCTACAGACACCTCTTCACTGCGACCCACTGATGCTACAGACACCTCACTCACTAGACCCACTGAGTGCCTACAGCCACTGATGCCTACAGACACCTCACTGGACCCACTGATGCCTACAGACACCTCACTAGACCCACTGATGTCTACAGACACCTCACTAGACCCACTGATGCCTACAGACACCTCACTAGACCCACTGATGCCTACAGACACCTCACTAGACCCACTGATGTCTACAGACACCTCACTAGAGCCACTGATGTCTACACCTCACTGGACCCACTGATGTCTACACACCTCACTAGACCCACTGATGTCTACAGACACCTCACTAGACCCACTGATGTCTACAGACACCTCACTGGACACCACTGATGGATGCTACAGACCCCTTACACTGGACCCACTGAGTGTCACACACCTCCTGGGGCCAGACTGATGTCTACAGACACCTCACTAGAACCACTGGATGTCTGCAGACCTCACTAACCCACACCACCACCCAGAAGTCAGACACTCACTAGACCCACTGAGACAGACACCCAGATTACACAAACTTGGACCATTCGATCACCACCACCCAGAGTCACTTGGACTTGATCACCACCCACACACTAGGGCCACTAACCACCACCCAGAGGCCAAACTTGGACCATTCGATCACCACCCAGAAACCACACTGCCCAGAGCCAGGACCACTCACCACCACCCAGAAGTCAAACTTGGACCACTCAACACCACCAGAAGTCACTAGATGGACCACTGACCACTGCAAACTCAAACTTGGACCACTCCACTGTACCACATGTCACTAGTCACCGGGCTTTCGAAGACACTTTAGAAACTTGGACCATCTGGGTGACCAGGCTAGGTGACCAGGCTAGGTGACCAGGCTAGGTGACCACTGACCAGGTAAGGTCCAGGCTTGTTGACTAGGCTTAAGTGACCGGGCTGGGTGACCAGGCTAGAGGACGGGCTAGTGACCGAGGCTGGGTGACCGATCTAGGTGACCGGGCTGGGTGACTGGGTGACCAATCTAGGTGACCAGGCTAGGTGACAGGCTAGGTGACCAGGCTGGGTGACCGGGCTGGGTGACCGGAGCTGAGTGATTGCGCTAGGTGACCGGGCTGGGTGACCGGGCTAGGTGACTGGGCTAGGTGACCGGTCTAGGTGACCAGGCTAGGTGACCGGGCTAGGTGACCAGGCTAGTTGACTGGGCTTAAGTGACCGGGCTAGGTGACCGGGCGAGTTGACCAGTCTAGGTGACCGGACGAGCTGACCAGGTTGATGTATGTCATCGAATCCCAGTTCCGTACATCGGCATGACGTCAATGTCTGGATAGTCTGGTTCAGACTCGACCACGTTATAGACCGCGTCAAATAGCTAGAACATTGCTGAGTGCGGCGTTTGACAACAAAACAAAGGTAAAAGCAATCCGATTACCCACCCTAGTAAGACTAACATAGGTTAGGTCTCATTCGTCTAACCATTCGTCGTCTTACCGAGGTACTCAGCGTCAGAATATTGTAGGTAGGTGACAACTGGCTGTGTGATAGCACAAGTGTAGACCCGTGACAACCACCACTCCAGTCGCCACTCCATAGAGCGCATATCTGCGAAAAACCCAAGAGGCGGTTGTTCAGCCACTCTCGCACTTCGCAGTTAACAAGGACACAGCTGATTGTATTGACAAGTCGTTTTCACTTTGATCTCACACAAAGCTTACTCTGAAGAATCTCTCGAGTGCGGCCCACTGCTCCTGTCGTATGTGATCAAATAATGTGACAACTCAATCATGGAAGTGTGACGTCACGAAGCGTGGAGAGGTTTGGAGTGATGAGATCAAGGGAGAGGTCTGGGGTGGAGGTTCCAGGAGGGTCATGCTGAGGGCAGGATCAAAGCGGGTTCTGGCATGAAGATCAAACAGACGATGTCGTAGTATTCGCACGAAACTCATTCAGTTGATCCTGCTGCAATAACCCAGCAATGCCAGTTGGATGTGTGAATATTATCTACTTGTTGGCTCTGGAATATATAACTTCATCAACCTCAAGTCACGAAGAACTATGAAGCAGACAACTATGGGGAACACATTTTGATTGATGAGAACCCGTTGGTAACAGGGTTGCCCACAACGTCGTATAGGCACCGCCCATGCAGGCTCCAGGAGATCCCGGGAACCACCATATATCATAACTCCAGCAGGCACCGTTAAAATCCAGCAACATTTCCTAGGACCTTGGTTCCAACTGGCATCATTGGAAAGCCAGTTCATAAAATCCATGACACCACCATTGCGTGATTCAAACAGGCACATAATACGTATGTTCCCCTTCACGAGAGTCCCCCAACCAACACCCTGCTTCAGTATAGCATGCTCCCCTTCACGAGAGTCCCCAACCAACACCCTGCTTCAGTATAGCATGCTCCCCTTCACGAGAGTCCCCCAACCAACACCCTGCTTCAGTATAGCATGCTCCCCTTCAC